GACAGTCTCCACTTTCTACTTACAGGAGACAAAAGGAAGATGTAGAGCACAGCATAGAGTGTCCATTCATCTGTGTTAACATATGTTATGCATGGAATGTCTTTAGCAGAATACTCAGAAATTGGTAACAGTAATTGCCTTTGGAGAGGGGAACATGCTGAATGATCTGGAGTGGAAGAATGTTATGGAATGAATGCTTGTGTTGCCCAAAGTTCTTAGGTTGAAATCCTAACCCCCAGTATGGCTATATTTAGAAATGGGACCTCCAAAGAAGAAATTAAGGTTAAATGAGCCCATAAAGGTAAGATCCTTATCCAATAGGATTAGTGTTCTTTTAAGAAGAGACATCAGAGAACTCTCTCTTGCTCTGCCCAGGCACCGAGAAAAGACTGTGTGAGGGCATAATAAGAAGGCAGCTATCTACATGCCAGGAGGAGAGCTCTCACCAGAAACTGAATTGGCAGGAACCTTGATACTGGACTTCTACCTTCCAAGACTGTGAGAAAATAAATTTCTGTTATGTAGGCCACCCAATCTGTGATATCTTGTTATGGCAGCTGTAGCAGACTAGTAGAAAGAGAGACTTATTATTTTTTTTTTTTACAAATAGTTTATTGTCAAATTAGTTTCCACATAACACTCAGTGCTCATCCCCACAAGTGTCCTCCTCCATGCCCATCTCCCCCTCCCCCCCACATCCATCAGTCCTCAGTTTTTGTCAGCATTCAAGAGTCTCTCATGGTTTGCCTCTCTCCCTTTCCCCCACCATTTCTGCCCTTCTTCTCCCCCTTGTTCCTCCGTCAAGTTCCTCCTAATCCTCCTATACGTGCAAACATATGATATTTAAGAGAGACTTACTTTTAATTGTAATTTTTTCATTTATATTGTAGATAATTTTAAATTTTTTGCACTCCCAGATTTCACCAGCTTACAAAAAAAAAAAGAGCCACTAAACTGAGAGAGTAGGAAACACCTACCCTTTCCTTCATGAGAATTTCAAAGGTCCCAGTTCTCTCCTTTCAAGGCTCTTCCCCTTTCCTGACAGTGGGCTGGAGGTCATGTCTGCCTCAGAGTGCTGCTATTGCAGTACTATCTATCTATCTGCTGCCTACAAGACTCCAGACGTAGATGCTGCTGGTTTTTCATAATTTGATCTTGGGCATCAGTGTTGCCCCGTTTGCCTTAGCTTTGCCCCGGGTTGGCCTGCCTAGTAGAACAGCAGCAAAACGCAGTAAAGAGTGTACTGATTTCACAGTTAGCCACACTCATGATTGAGACCTTGGCTCTGAACCTTATTAGTGGACTTGCATAGCCATCTCTGAAACTTCTCTTCTGTTTTTTCATTTGAAGAAGAAGAGCCTTATTATGAAGACAGCAATGAAGCACAGAGTGTGCCTGGCACCTGGAAGACACTCAATGTAGCAGCTGTTATTACAAATGACAGTGTCATTTTTCTTTTCTCTTTTGCAGCTCTTGAAAGTGACTTTGCCAATCCAACAAACACCAATGTCCATTCTGTCCCTGATTAGTACGATTGCTTCTTTGCTTCCTCTGAATCAGGATTGTAACTTCTTACTCTTCCTGTTTTGTTATGGCCTCTGATTTGGAGGAATTTGAGATACATTTTTTCTGGGCTGTTTGGAGGACGTTTGTATGGCAGTACCAGTAGCCACAGATAACTTTTTGCTGACCTTAACCACCAGACACTGATTTTTTTTTTAACTTACAGTTATTTCCTGGTCAACCTACAGCTTGAGGGCAACCTTTGAATGGACTGCCTTTGAGAACTTAATACTCACTAATTGGAGGAAGCAAATTCCACAATTTTTTACTTGTCTTTTGGGCAGATAGTTTAATGAAATGAGAGGAACGTTGGCTTTGAGGTCAAATGTTCCTGCATTGATCTTGATTTTGTCTCTGCTAGTTGGGTGAACTTGGGCAAGTTGTTTATCTGGTTCTGTCATTCTGTCCAATGGAGGTAATTCCTGTCTCACAGAGTGGTTGGGAGAACTCAATGAATTATTAAATGTCAAGCTTACTGATACGATGCCTAGTATGTATTATAGAACCAGTAAATATTAGTTTCCCTTTTATCTACTTGCAAATAAGAAAACTGTTGGCTTTCAGAGGTGTGCTAGAACATCTAAGTCAGCATGGGGACTGAAGTTGGTCTCTTCCACCCTGAAATGAAATTGGGTGCAGATTCTTAAATGTACCCAGTTCATACTACATATTAGAGAGTCACAGCTCGTTTTAAGTGATAAACAGTAGCCTTTTGGAGTCAATCGTGTGAATCGCTTTTAACAATTTTACAAGGTTATTTATTATGAAATTCTAAACGCTAATTGTACACACATCTTTAAAATTTTCCATTCACCTGCTTCTTCAATGACTTAGAAATATTTTATTTTGTATTGACATATTTTTGTAAGCTATCCCAAATTCGTTGTGGAAAGAGTAGCAGTATAGAACCCACAAACAAAACAATGAAATGAAGTACCATAAATAAAGAGCCAAAGAAAGGATTTGTCCAGGGCCACTTTCTGCCTCAAAGTGTGTTTTGCATCTTAATTAGCCTGAAAGCTTTGAGAGAAACATGTCATTTTAATGACCAAACACTACTTGACCTTTCTTTCTTTCTTTTTTTTTTTTTTTCCTATCCGCAAAGAAAACATCTAAAGAACAAAACTTTCTGATATGGAACAAATTCTTATTTTTCTCTGGCACGTCATTTATAGGCTTGTCAAAGACAGAGGAAGAAAGTCTTGCTGAGGGTCATGGGATTGTGTAGTGCTTGAGAGGCACCTGGCATTCCTGGCTCTGTCTCCTACAGGGGCACAGAGCTTGTGTGGAGGGCTGGACGTTTTCAGTCACACACTTGCTTAGTCTGAAGCATTAACCCTATGAGCCTTCTCCACTCCTCCCATAATATTTGCTGTGTGTCTCCTTCCCCAACCCTGCTCAGATAGAACAGGCTAGTAGAATCAGTTGACACAACCTCTGTCAGAAGCAACTGGGCTAGTCTTATCCAGAGCCAATAACATACAACACACAAGATGGCTGAAGTCCAAGGTTGCCACACTTTAACATACAAGAGGGAAAGTATCAGTGGAGAAATACAATCAAGCCATGTGGATGGGTGACAAGAAGTCCTTTGGCCAGAGGAACAGATTACATACCAACACTGTCCTGGCTCACTGCCCCCAAGGAATACATAGCAATCCACACTCGGGGAAAATTCCATGAAATAGCAGAGCAGAAACCTCCTGAAGCCAATGGCAACACACTCCAAGAAAAACATCCAATGAACCAAACCCCAAACAACGCAGACCTCAGAAACGTAAATAAAAATTAACTGAAAAAGGAAACCTTCAGAGTCTTGGGAAGGAACACAACAGATTAAGTGACCACAAAACACTAAAACACCAACTAGTTATTTACCCACTGCTTTGTGGTAAATACAAGGCCCGTAGTCTCCAGGAGGTTATTTCTGGGCGCCAATGACTTAGCACATAGGCCAGCAAAGAGCATGGACTTTATTTTCCTCCCCAGGGCAAGTGGCATTTATAATGGGCCTGAGAACCAGAAGGAAGTTCCTTTGAACCTCTTAGTCTTATAGCTATTTATAAGGATGAGAGAGGAGTGGAGGGTGGGAAAAACATTGGGGTTAAAGTCAGAAGCCTTGGGTTTGTGTGCCCTGCCCCTTGCTAACTCTGCTATACTGGGCAAGCTGGTAAACCATGCTGTTTCAGTCTCCTCATTTGGAGAAATGAATGGATAATAATAATAATTTCTCCCTCACAAGGTTGATATGAATATTAAATGTAAAAAGGGATATAAAGAGAACTTCATAAGATGCAAACTACAATAAGACACCAGTTGTTCCTATTACTTTTCTACTTCATTTGTGTAGTATTAGCATCTACCTACTTTGGGTAAATTTCTTGATAACTGAGAAGTGCCCCTTTGAGCATCTATTTTTTTTTTTTTACTGTTTATTTTTGAGAGAGAGAAAGAGAGAGCAGGGGAGGGACAGAAAGAGAGGGAGACACAGAATCCGAAGCAGGCTCCAGGCTCTGAGCTGTCAGCACAGAGCCTGACACAGGGCTAGAACTCACGAACCGCGAGATCATGACCTGAGCCGAAGTGAGATGCTTAACTGAATAACCCACCCAGGCGCCCCTTGAGCATCTATTTCAACCAATTTGGTTAAAACCTATAACCATCCACCTCCTTTAAAAGATTATAGAAAATAGATTAGAGTTTTCTTGTTGACTTAGAATCAAAGTTATAAACACCTTCTCTTGCACTACATAGTAGTACAGTTCCGTGCATTTGTTTTGGATTCTTTTTCCTTCTGGGAGGTGACGCATAGCCTCAACCACTGACCTGTCTTAAGAGCTTCTTCTACCTCTGTTCTGCTTGTCTATTTTCAATTTAGGCAAAACCAGATAACCAAGCTCATTAAAAATGAGTGCTAACTATGAATCAGTGAGTCTCTATTTAGAATCTTAGTAATAAAATATGTGGTGTTCATGCAGGGGCTTTGAACGCACCACAGTGCGGCTCAAAAATCATTTTTCTGGCTTGAGATTAGAGAATGGCAGGTGTTAGACAAGTTGACCTCAGGGTGAACATGTGGTGCCTGAGTTAGGAGTCCTTTGGGTGGGTCTGGTGTGCTCACATCTCTCTCGCCTTTTGATGTAACTCCAAGTGTGATAATGGTCATTTTACAGTCAACCAAGAGTGAAGGCTGAATCAGAAGGATTAACATGAAGGACAAAGGAAGTGTCTTGAGGACCTGCGGGGCATTCCTGTGTGTGTCAGTCTGCACATAATATTTTAGACTGTTTTGACTAAATTAAATTCCATTTAATTAAATTCCATTAAATTCAGTTTAGACCCAGAATCATTCAGTTCAGCAAAATTCGTTATTGGGTTTATTTTTTCTCTGAAGTGACTCACCGTTTTATTAATTTTCTCCAAATAAATTGTTTTAGCATCATAACATCTCACCATGATGGAATCATGATAGAATCGGAGTTTTCGTACTAGAAGAAACCTTCCAGGTCATATAATCTGCTGGCTTCCAAACACTACTCTGAAGACCCATGTTGGTCCTGACAAGTTTTCACCAGTCTGTGGAAAGATAAGGAAAAAAAATAAGGAAAATAGGAGAATACAACATTCTTTTCATAAAATTGATTCACCCCATTTGAAGTGATGTCTTGTATTCTGATGTCTTGCTCTTCCTTCTTTTCTGGTGTCCTTTACCCTTTCCTCTGAGATGATTGTAATGGTAAGTAGCCATTATCTCAAAAATACCTATTAATCAGATAACAAAGTTGACTGTGCTACAGTTAGGCTTCTGGTCTGTGGGTGTTTTGTGTGGTTGTTGGATCTATGGACTTCAAGGGTGGGAAAATTACAGATCTAGACCAGCTCCTTCATTTTCAGACGAGGGAACAGAGACTCTGAGACAATTTATACAACTGAGAGACTCTGAGACAATTTATACAACTGAAGTTCACACAACTGGGAAGTTGGAAAGCTAAGACCAGAGCCTGGACTTGCTACTCCCTCTGCTTCAGGGCTGTGTCCTTCCCTAGCTAGAATGTCAGTATTATTACCCGTTCTTTGGAATGTCAGTATTATTCCCATTTCATGAGACTCTTGAAGAGGAAGGTAGTGGAGAAAAGGGAGCCTCTGTTTCTGGAGCATCCTGATGTGCCTGACCCAATGCTGATGCTTCATGTGTATTATTTCCTTTATTCCTCCAACAGCCCTAAAAAGAAGCTAAAATTGAAAGCATATTATAACTGAGGAAAACTACATTAAAAAATGTGAGCCAATTTGACTCAGAATCCATCAAGCCATCCTTCCGCCAACCTCCATGTTGTCCAACAAGCATTTGAGTGGCTTCCCTGCACAAGGGAAATCTAATGCTAATGTAATTGAAAGGTTTTAGCAAATTATAAAGTGATAAATGAATATCTGGTAATTTTTTTACTATTCCTCTCAACCAATCCTATGAGGCTGGTTATTATCTCCATTTTATAGATGAGAAATAAGCAAAGAGCATGTAAATATTGCAGAGCTAAGGCTGGCTTCCTGACTCCTCATCCTGGCCTCTGTGTTCTACACTCACTACGTTAGGGGTATCTTATTCTGTAGAAGAAACATGGTGCACCAGAAACACTTTAGTCCACAAAGGATTACAAGCCAATCAGCCATAATTGTTGCTTTGAAAAGGCAGGAGCAAAAGAAGTTTGATGGAGATTCCAGGCATGAAAGGGTCGTAAGTTCTGGGCTTTCCAATACTAAGCTGTTCTCCTCCAGATGATTTTAATAATCTCCAGCACATGTGTTCTAACCCCTTGATGCTGTACAATATGTGTAACCAAATAAAAGATCTCTCCAGATTTGGAGATTTACTGTTTGTGATGGGAAAAGGCCAACCAGATGACATCATTTATATTCCAAATATGAGCTGCTGCCAAGGCTGGTGATGTTAAGCTGGAGAAATTGATCCTCAACATTATTCTGTGAAGGAAAAAAGAAAAAAGATCTTGGCTTAGATAGTATCTTTTTATTATTTATGTGAGGATGAAGCCTAGTTTAATAAACTTCTATTTTATCTAGGATTGCTTATGTCCGATGTGTGGGCTGTTTGGAAACACAGTTACTTTCATATAATTAAATTTACCAAGTTGGGTGATCAGAGTTACCATTTGGTTGTTGTTGTTGCTGGATGGGTAACTGATGGTGGTTGACCCTCACGAGGCTTGTCTGCTCCAGCAGACAGGATATCAGGGCTGCGGTCACTTGTTCAAAAGCAAAGGTGAACAAGTAATGGTGGATGGCAGTAGACTCTGCACCCATTCCTCAACTTCTTCTTTCCTAACACGTGATTTTTTTCTAGCATCCATATTCTCCACTATCATGAAACCCAGGGAAAGTTGACATCATTCCCAGTTTCAAAGATAGATCTTGATTAATCTAAACTAGTAAACACATGGTATTCCCCCCATGACCAGTGATTGAGGAGTGACTTGTGAATATAATCAGCTAAGTGAAAGGGCTTAGATTCCACACTTGAGGTGGTGGGTTTTCCCTCTCTTCCAGGATAGATGATAACATAGGCACAGAGCCCCCATTGCTGATGGCATCCATTTTATAATCACAAGGAGGACCAGATTTAGAATGAAGCCAGTGTTGAGGATGGCTGAATGGAGAGATGGGAAAAGAAGAGTGCTTGATTATATTGTTCATCCTCTGTGCTGTGCTTTCCCTGTCTCTGGGCTTCCTTTCACATAATATATCATTTCCTCATTATTTAAGCCAATTTGAGTTTCTGTTGCTTGCCCCTGAAGGCATCCTGATTGGGACAGGTGCACATTTGCCTCCTGAGCTCCCGTCAACGTTTGAACCACATTTTCATGGTGTTTTAAAGATAGAGTCTTGAATTTATGTCTAAGGACTTTACGCGTCCAGTTGCCACCACACTCAAAGTGGTCTAAAACAAAAGTCACTTGCAACATTCCCTGGCTTCTTGATCTTGACGCTTCCAGCTTCATGTCCAACCCTTCCAGCCTGATCTCTAGCCGTGCTCATCAGCCCCTCTACAATCTTTCCATTATTCTGGCGTGCCATCCTGTCTCTCACCTCTAGCCTTGCTGTACTTTTTCCACTGACTCTAATGATCTCCACTGCCTTTTTCCCATACTCCCCCTCCATAAAATCTTGACTTAGGCACCATTTCCCCTGGGCAGCCTTCCCTTCATTGGCCCTTCTAATACTTCTCTGGCACCTTACTCATCCCCTATCGGAATGCTTTCTACTCTATATGGAAATGACCCTGTTGGACTGTGGGTCCAGTGAGGACAGGAAACATCTGTTCTGTTTACAGTTTTGTCCCCAGGGCTTAACACATAGTTGGTACTACATAAAATATTTGTTGAAAGAATGATGAATTAATTACTTAAAGCTATTCAAACATTCTGCATTGCCTAGTGCCCAAGTGCCTTAATATGGCTTTCAATGATCTGGCCCTGACTTCCTGTCCAGACCCCTCTCCTGTTACTCACCACTAATTTTTTTTATTTAAAGTGCACTGAATCACATATCCTCTGCTGTTTCATGTCTTAATGTCCGTATGGGCATTTGCTACATCCTGAAACTACCCATTGTTGTGTAGCTCCGCTTCTTTAATTGGGAGTTTGCGCTGAAATAAATAGTGAAAGGAATTCAAACAAACAAAAACAACAACCCAACAACCCTGGATTCAAATTCTGCATAGCATCTTCTCATTTGTGTGACATTGAACAATGTGCTTAATCTCTCGTCTACAATGTGGGGGTACAATTGTGCCCAACCAGGTTGTTGTGAGGACAAGTCAGGGAATGGATAAGAAGCCACCTGGCATAATACTTCCTGTGGTAAGTTCTCAGAATAGCCCTGCATGCTGAATCATTGTTGAAGTCTGACTTCTGGTTTCAGAATCAACCACCAATTGGATTCTAGGTTGCTTTGAAAAAGTAAAATCAAAGAATAAGAATTGACCATGAGTTCAGACTTCAGGAAGAAAACATGTTTGAGAGGGAAGAAAGTGGCATTGCAGGGTCTTTATTCTCTACTTTAAAGTCTAGAGAGTTTGGGGTTAGCAGGAGTATAGTTTGAGAAGTTATTTGGTTTGGCTAAAATGGTTGTTACGGCAGAAGCTGCAATTTCCAGGAAGTTTTTGGGTTCCCATAGTTTCAATAACAATTGCAGTGCCCACAGAGCAATCCTTCAAGGCCAAGGCCAAATGAAAACACAGTGGCAGGTGTTCAGTGGTGCTTGTAAGATGCTGATAGGTAAGAGTAAGAACTAGGTGGCAGCCCATTAAAAGCTTTCCCAAATGGGAGAGAACCATGTTGCCTAGATTCACAGAGTAAGCTGGTCTGACTATCCTTGCAACTCTTTCCCTCATTACTGGGTTCTGTTCTTTGACCAAGCTCCTGGTTTTTGATACCTGGCTTCTGGTCTGTGCCTCCTGGAGTTTGGGGCAACTTACCTATTCAACAACTAGCTTTCCCTATAGATATCATGGAAGAGTAGAGGAAGGAAGGAGATGGCTTCCAGAAAGAGGTACAGAAATTAGATGCTGCATCTAAACAGGGCTTTTCTTTCACTTAAATATCTTCATTGTTGAGTGGAAGGAAAAAAAATGTGTGTCTTGGAACCAGAAAGCTGGTTTTGAATGTTGGCCCACCCACTAATTGGCTATATGATTTAGGGCATGCTCCTTGACCTCTTTGAGCCTCAGCTTTCTCATCTATGAAATGGGAATCATATCTGCCTTGCACAGTCTTGGTAGTAATGAAATGAGACCATGGATACAAAACATTCAAATCATTCAAAAAGTTTCTTAATCATACTTTACATTTAACCTTTCTGGCAGCACTAGCCATTATGAAGGTGGGCCAGGACAGTGTCTTAGAATGTCAAGATGTAGATCCAGATTCCTCATTGTGGATAGAAAGGAGTGAAGGGTGCAGTGAGCTATCTATGGAGTGAAAATTAAGAGCGAACTCTCATAAAGATAAGGATTAAATGGACAGAGAATGAAAAATAAAGGTATAAATGAGAGTAAGGACATCCTAAGACCCAGTTTCCTCATTTGTAAAATAAAGAGGTAGAGTAAGATTAGTGTCTCCTAACTGTGGGTTTCCTAACTCTACATTTTCTAACTGGGATCTCAGGAGATGGGAGATAAAAGGAAGGCAGAGGAGCGAGAAGTTGAATTATGTCTTTGGTTCATGGACTCTTGCTAATGCTCAAGGTGTCTTCCAGCACTTTCCCTTTCTTTTCCCTTCTTCCTCCTCCCCCTCTCCTCTCCCTCCCCCTCTCCTTCTCCTCCTCCTGCTGCTGCTTCTCCTTCTCTTTCCCCCTTCCTCTTCCTCCTCTTCTTCTTTCCATTCCCCTCCCTCTTCTTCCCCTTCCCCTTGCCCTTCCCCTTCTTCTCCATCTTTCTGCTCCTCCTCCTCTCCTCCTCCTCCTCCTCGTCCCCTTCCTCCTCCTTCTTCTTTTTCTACATTAAGGACCAACAAATAATGAAACTTCCAAGAAAAATGTACTCAACTAAGCAAACATTTACTGAGCAGCAACAAGCAGCTATTATACTAAGTATGAGGGGTATGAAGATTACTAGAATGTGGTCCTTCACTCCAGTGATTCCTATAGTTTAGTGGGAGGGACAGAGACTAAGCGTGTAACCTCAACATAATGTGATGGGTCTGTGAGGTAGGAAGCCCAGGGGCCATGGAAACTCTGAGAAAGAGACTTGATGGCAGATGTCAGGAAAGACATCCTCAAGGAGCTGATGCCTCAACTGAGCTGTGAAGGATGAATAGGAGTCTGCCCTGTGAGGAGAGGTGAAGGACAGTGTATCCACTCAGAACAATGACCTTTGCAATCCTGGTTTATTCCTCTGCATTGCTCCTAGGGCAGCAACATGGAAATCATTCCAAATCGTTGGCTTGGGATGGTTTATTTTGGATGTGCTCATCACTGAGTACATATTTTTCCAGGATTTCTGAGGAGATGGATTTCCATGTGTGCTGTGCTTCAGCGTGTCTCCTCAGGGTGTTTATTTACTGTGCTTTATTCCATAACCTAGCAGGGTGTCACAGCTGGAAGCAGCTGGTGGTAAATAAATAGCTTCCATTACCCAACCCCATCACCATCCTCCATCCTGCTTCAAAAACATCGTCTCAGCCCATGGTTCCTCCACCCTCAGATCCATTGCAAAGTGTCAAATCCCTGTGGAGCTTTTAAAAATGAAATTGAGAGGTAAAGCAAAGGACAGTTTAAGGCACCAGGGAATTCAGACTCTAAAAAGATAGGCTTTCCTAGAGAAACCTTATCAGTCATATAGGCTCTTTGATAGGAAAACAAAGTCATAAACAGATCAAATTTATGTTGTGGTCTGCTGTAGGGGGATTTGGCAGTGACTCGATAGAACATGGTTTGGCTGGGACTTTCCTATGTGCTCTTTGCTTTCACAGATTTTATCTTATGTAGTGGTTCTGTGTTAGGTTTGTCAAACCAGTGATGGATGAATACAGAGCAAACGGAAGGGACGAAGGCAGGGAACTAGCAACATCTACTTTCTGCCTGTCATGACACTGGGGTGGTGGAAATTCTGATATACAACTTCCTTATCTCAAAAACTACAAGAAGTCAATAGCCCCGCCATCCTCACCAGTTCCTTCACTCATCAGACTCACAGGCTTTCCGCTACATACAAGTAAAATGGAGGATATTCCTCTTATCCTCCATGTGTGTGTATTTGGGAGAGGGGAGGAAGGCCATTGGCATGCAGGAAGGGGAGAGGAGAACTCAGGCATTTATTAAGGAATGTCTTCTCTTCCTGAGTTAGCAAACTCCAGGAAACCACTGAAAAAGGGAGCTAGAAGCACACATTTGAAAGTAGACACAGTACTTATCCATTCAGACATTTAAGACTTAAAAAGGTCAAGGCATTTGTCTAAGGGAGGGAAAAATTGAATATCTAGAAGTTTCTCT